ACTCTGTTAAAAAAAAAACATGTTCCCTACACAAACAGCCTCCACCTGGCACAAATTTAGCACATTTGAGTTCTGTATGTTGGATGTTTCACTGAACAACATCTGCTCAGTCTGCTCTCAACGAGAGAGACGTCTCTTTACAGTAAAGCCTGACGTTGAGTCGCATGTTCTGCACACATGTTCCATAAGTGCCAATAGAAACCATAACAGATCTGTAGATAAATTACCCACACTGACTAAAATTCAATGAGGCTGTTCCACAAGGGCAATTCCTTCTGTGTTGGCATAGCTGGGATTTTATTGTCGCCTTCTTTTGATGTTTCAAAGGGAAATGCATCCTGTTAGTGGTTAATAAGCCATGGGTGGAGTGACATGACATGACATTGAGGGGTTTATTAACTTAACGTAGTGTCTCTAATAATTTACCATGTGATTTACAGCTTGTGCTGTTATGCGACGTAAAACCTTCCACCAGTGAAGTAATGTGTGTATCTTACAATTACAGTACAGTAAGCATTTAAAACGATGATGCAAACATTTCCACTACTGTACAAATCACGTTTTTCTTACCTGTCCTGCTTTAGTAGTTTGTGTTTGGGCCTCCCACATGTCAAAATTCCCAAAGTCACCAAACAGGATCAGCGGAGCGTTGAGTGGCCACTCGCGTGTGACCCCTGCAACCATATCAGATGGCATTCTTGCTGGTGGGGGGCTGGGCTTATCGGGCCGCGGCATTCTGGGTCAGGCCTGATCGAACTTTAATGTCACTAGACCCCAGCAAGTGGACTTCAAAGCGAGCGTAGAGTGCATTCTTTGTGCAAGTGTACAGGGTAAATAACTAGAGAGAGGCCGGACAGAGGCAGACTGTGAAAGCACACGAGGGCTTTGACTCCACGCTGACTTTGATCACGCTTTTGTCTTCCTTATGAGTCATCAAAAAAGGCACGCAAATCAAGTGGGCTCAGATCAAAGGGACGGGCCCCTAATAGTCTGGGAGAAAATGGAGAAACGCAATAACATCAAAAAAGGAGGAGAAAAACTGGGCGTGTTGTCATTATGGAAAGAAGAACTAAGAGCTGTTTGTGTTCGCTAATGTATTTGCTTATTAATTTATTGTTTGTTTGTGGTTTTTATGCCCATATCGCCCTTCTAATTGGCTTAACTACCTTCAAGGCTTGTTGGGAGTCAGGAAAAAGAATGTGGGCGAGTTTGTTTAGGTTTAGTTTGTACGGTTACTGCTCATCGTTATGCCGTACAGCCATGATTTTGTCTGTGGTTAAATCCGTTTGTTAGTGTTATTGTATGTAAGTGGTAGGTATTAACACATAGCCCATTTTTGCGGCCATAGCATGTGCTTTTGTGTGTTTGTGCATTAAAACGTATGGCCTGTTCTGTGTTTATTTACTCGGCAGCTGTGTTTACGTCTTCATTTTGTTGTGTTTTGTCTTGTGTGTGTATCAGGCCACCCGCGGGAGCTGACAGAGGAAGAGAAACAGCAGGTTTTGCACTCGGAGGAGTTCCTCATCTTCTTCGACCGCAGTATTCGTGTGATGGAAAGAGCGTTAGCTGAGGACTCCAACATCTTCTTTGACTACAGCGGACGAGACTTGGAGGAAAAAGAGGGGTGAGAAAGTGATGCGTAACACAGATGGGGCTCTATATAGAAATATGGTTTCTGAGTTATAGATGAAGTATTTTATGCATTTTTATGTTTATTTTTAATATTTTATTGCTATATTAAGAATTTCCTTTAACAACAGTCAAAACTTATAAATGGTTGCATTACTAATGGTTATATTATTGCAAACTTGATTGTAGTGAAATGAAATTTATGTGAGAAACTGGACCACTTTGACATCCAAATGGTAATTAATCTACATGAAATGGAACCCAAAACACAAAATGTAGTTACACAATATAAACTGCTTTAATTATCTGGATTTAATTTATATGTGACCCTGGACCACAAAACCAGTCTTAAGTCGCTGGGGTATATTTGTAGCAATAGCCAAAAAAACATTGTATGGGTCAAAATTATAGATTTTTCTTTTATGCCAAAAATCATTAGGATATTAAGTAAAGATGATGTTCCATGAAGATATTTTGTACATTTCCTACCGTAAATATATCAAAACTTAATTTTTGATTAGTAATATGCATTGCTAAGAACTTCATTTGGACAACTTTAAAGGCGATTTTCTCAGTATTTAGATTTTTTTGCTCCCCCAGATTCCAGATTTTCAAATAGTTGTATCTCAGCCAAATATTGTCATATCCTAACAAACCATACATCAATGGAAAGCTTATTTATTCAGCTTTCAGATGATGTATAAATCTCAGTTTCGAGAAATTTACCCTTATGACTGGTTTTGTGGTTCAGGGTCACATATATTTGGAAAATTGTATATTTAAATAATTTTTTTTTCAAGCAATGGATGTAGGTTGCTTATGCTCTGTCATAAAATAAATGGTCACACAAATTATCATATCACTGTTGAAATTATCACATTTTAAAATAAATTTATAGTGTATTGTCAGCGAATTTTGTGCAGAACGTGATATAAATATAACAAAAATAGGAATGGTTGGTGTTAGTTTGTAGTATTTATAATTAAGCTAACATGAAAACCATTGAAGACTATAGCATGTCCTCAATGAGCTAAATGTGTTTGTGTGTGTGTGTGTGTGTCCATTATTTTTCAAAGAAGTTGCAAAATGATGTCATCCATTAACAACCTCTAGTTTTGCTCTTCTGTATTGGTATACAAACACACTGTTATTTTTATGAGCATTTGTTCTTAATTTAAATATTTAGAAATGTTTATATAAATGGATAAAATATTGTATTAAAAGCGGTTTTATGCACTGTTTCTATCTATCTATCTATCTATCTATCTATCTATCTATCTGTCTATCTCTCTGTCTGTCTGTCTGTCTGTCTGTCTTAATTTTCTATTGTATATAGTAAAGTGTATATTAAAACCCCAGAGCCAATGTTAAAAAGAGTATTTCTCTCTCAGAGATCTGCAGGGTGGCTCCAGTCTCTCTCTCAATCGTCTGTTCTATGATGAGCACTGGTCAAAGCATAGGGTCATCACCTGTCTGGACTGGTCCCCTCAGGTAGACTGACCTCCCTCTCTGACCTCCTGTATATGTCAGCACCTGTTCATTTAAAAGGGAGAATCCTCCCATTCTTAGTCTCTGAGTCAGCTTTATCATTCTCTTCTCTGTTCTCTCTCTCTCTCTCTCTCTCTCTCTCTCTCTCTCTCTCATCTTTCTCCTGTCTGCACTCTCTTCTCTTCGTATTTCCAGTACCCTGAGCTCTTGGTGGCCTCCTACAACAACAATGAAGACGCTCCTCATGAGCCAGATGGTGTGGCTTTGGTGTGGAATATGAAATTCAAGAAGACCACACCAGAGTACATCTACCACTGCCAGGTGAAAACCCTTAACACAACACAAATGTACACACTTACCCTCCAAATATCGCGTCACACCGAATATTAAGGGAGTGAAAATTTCTATTGCAGGAAAATGTTAAAGAGATTCTGTGATCATGTACTCACCTACATGTCATTACAAACCCGTATGAGTTTTAACTCAACTCTTAAAGAAGATAATGGCTCTAGCAGCTGTTTGGTTACCAGCATTCTTCAAGATATCTTTTTTTGTGTTCAACAGAAGAAAGAAGCTCGCACAGGTTTCTAACAACTTGAAGGTGGATAAATGATGACAGAATTTTCAATTTTGGATGAACTGTCCCTTTAAGAAATTTTACACAAATTTGGGTTGAACTATTTATTTGAGTTAAAAATGCATTTATCATTGGGTTTATTGTTACACATTGCATGCTATATTGCATACGATTTAGAAAACTGTAGGCAACATGTAGTACATACTTTTTAGTAAGTCGCTCACTTGTATCCCATTCCAAATATACCTCTAGTATTCCAAGCACTTCTCAATAAATTTATAATAAAATTACCTAATTGGAAAGCCATGATAAAGGAAGTGGTAGCTTCAATAAAAGGGAGATCTAATGGAGCATACCACTTCAGATGACGACATGCATTTAAATGAGCCTAAGGTGATATTTAATTAAAGGTGCATGCTGGCCTTGGAGTACCGCAGCGGAACAGAACACCTTATTACGGTGTGTGTCCGCTTGGGTCAGGCCAAAAAAATCCTGAGGTTTGTGTGTAAAACATATCTGGTGTGGGTTTTGATGCTAATTATAAAAGACTCTGGGTTGAGAGTCTTTTCAGGGAGACGACCAAGTAAGCAAGTCTTGGAGGCGACAGCCTGGTGTGAGGGAGAGATATTAGAGAGACATTTCTGTAATAAAAAGATGTGGCTTACCACTTCCTAATCCTACCAGCCGCATATGTTTGCCCACCCACATGGTCTGCTCGTGCATGTGCTGCTTTTCCAATGCCCAGCACCTCTCACATGCACACAGACGGATACACGTATACATGCTCGTTTACTCACACAGTTACAGCCAAAGCATACTTACTTACACCAGATATGTTTTAGACATTCTTGATAGGTAATTTTTGAAATTGGTTCCTTATTTTACAATCGGGGTCAAATTTGCTCTCAAAGAACTTAACTTTTTTTTTTCTTTAAAAAAAAAAAAAAGACCTTCAGGAAATATTGATTATGAAATATTGATTGAACCTCAGGAGGTCAAACTAAATATTAGTTGTTTATTTTCTTTTAATTTTAGATGAGGTTTACAATCTTGTTAACAGAATGTGGGGAATGTCTAAAGGCAGTTTAAAATCCTGAATTAAAAACATGAAATAATCATCAAAACTAACTACCCTGCAAATTTAGCCTAAATTCAGCTGATTCTAAGTAAGGGATAAAAGGATAGTTTGGGAACAAATGCTGGTTTGTAGTTGTTACATTTTTTTCTAATAAATTAAAGACATATCAATTTTTCTTGCAGTGAATTTGGGTGACAGTGTTTAATGGTCAGCACTACAATTTGTGAGAATATTATTGTATATTTGTCTTCCTGGGATGCTGTAGAAGGGTGCAAATTCTGTTATTTCTCAGGAGTCAGTGTACTGTACATGTTTTGTAGCAGGAAGAAAGTCATGTGGTAACAGGGATGATGGTAACAGACATTTAATGTAACACTTGCTACTTTTCATCCTAGGTCAATTTTATCTAGACAGTTTTTATATAATAGTTTTCACAACAAAATAATGGGACACTAAAATAAACAGTGTTTTATAGAAAGTGCCATGTGTTTTTGATTGTGTTGTGACACAGGAGCATAAATGAAGACTCCCTTTGACCTGCCTCACTCTGCCATTTTCTTCTCTACAGCTCAGTGCTACAAAAAAGATGGGATGTATAGAAAGTATATATAAAAATAAAAACGCAAGATGAATAACACACAATGGCATTTCACAGCTTTCCTTCAGAGTGGCCTGAGGTTCAACCATCCTTTTTTCATCATGAGGAGAGAAATGGAGAGAGAAGCACTGGATCTCCAAACATTTGGCTGTTGGCTGAGGATGAAAGAGGTTGGGCCAATTTGGCGAGATGTTGTTTTTTGCTCTGGGATCTGTTCTAAACGGCGGTGCTCCCCTCTCACTGGGAGCACCGCCGAATCTGCGGGAATCTGATGGGTCTTAATGTGCAAGCATGTTCTGCCGCATCCCCCACACACTCCTCTCCTCGCTTCTTCTCCCCTCCTTTTCTCCCTTTGTGGCTTCCCTCACTTTTGGCAGGCCGTGTGGTGGAGTTCAGCAGTTTTGCAGTCGTTTTTCCAGATTTACCCACAGCCACCACTTTCATGTGCTGGATACTTCAGAAACCCTCCCTCCAGCACCGCTGTCTCCCACATTTCCCTCAGTTTCTCTTTTTGCTGTTCCATCTTTACCTCTTTTTGCCACATCTCTCTCTCCTTACTTCTTCTCACACTCTAGCTTTGTTCCAAAGCCTAGTGAGCTGACTCACTGTCTACTTAGGAAGGTTCCTAGCCATCATGGAATCTCATAACTGAATGTACTACATACGCAGCACCACGTTGGTGTTATATGAAAGATATAACACCAACATGTCAGAAAAAAAAAAAAACAATCACTGAGTTGGAAAAAGGATCACCCCCTTGTGTCAGTATTTTGTTGAACCACCTTTTGCTTTAATTACAGCCTTTAGTCTGTTGGGATATGTCTCTGTCTCTACTAACTTTGCACATCTAGACTTTGCAATATTTGCCCACTCTTCTTTGCAGAACTGCTGAAGTTCAGTTAAATTTGATGATTACTGTTTGTGGACTGCAGTCTTCAAGTCATTCCACAGATTTTCAGTGGGGTTTGAGTCTGGGCTCTGACGTTCACCTCTTTCTCCTTCTGGTCAGTTTTGCTGTGTGCTTTCGGTCATTGTCATGTTGGAAGGTAAACCTTCTTCCCATTGACAACTTTCTGGCAGAGGGCAGCAGATTTTGCTCAAGAATTTGATGGTATTTTGCCCCATCCATTTTTCCTTGTATCCTGACAAGTGCTCCAGTCCCTGTTTCAGAGAAACACCCCATAACAGGATATTACCACCTCTATGATTTACTGTAGGAATGCTGTTATTTGGATGGTGAGCTGTATTGGATTTATCGTTTGGTGTTGAGGCCAAATAATTACATTTTCCTTGAGGAGTGGCTTTTTTCATGCACCCCTCCCATAGAAGCCACATTTGTGTGGAGAATTTGTGATATTGTTGTCACATGCACACAATGACTACTCATTGTCATAAATTCCTGCATCTGCTTCAGAGTTGCTGTAGGCCTCTAGGTCGTCTCTCTGACCAGTTTCCTCCAGCTCATTCATTCAGTTTGGAGCGATGTCCTGATCCAGGGAGGGTCTGTGTTGTACCAAATACCTTCCACTTCTTAGTAACAGACTTCACTGTGCTACTAGGCATTGATAAAGCCTTTGAAATCTTTTTCTATCCATCTCCTGACTTGTGCCTGTCCACAACTTTATCCCGGAGATCTTTTGATGGTTGCCCATTGTTGATTGTTTGCTTCAGTTGCACTACCAAGGACTGAAATGCTCCAGGAAAGCTCTTTTCATGCTGAGCTGATCAAAATGTCCACAGCTGATCACAGTTGAAAGTCAAATGGCTTTGTGTGCCTTTGAGAAGGTGTTTAGCTGCAACTGATTGAGTTTACAAGTCATTTTTCGGAGGGGCTGATCCTTTTTCCAACTCAGTGATTCTGTTTTTTTATTTATTTATTTTACATGTTGGTGTTATATCTTTCACATGGATGTTATAAGTTGCGCTGAGTAAATACAGCTGGATAAAACAAAAACTTTGTCGTCTTCATTATAGGCTGCAAAGCAACAAAATGTGATTATTTTAAAGGGGGGTGATTATTTTCTATAACCGCTGTTACATACTTCTGTTCAGGGTTTGGTTTCAGTAAGATTTTTTAAATGTCTTTGAAAGAAGTCTCTTATGCTTACCAAGGCTGCATTTATTTAAACAAAAATACTACAAAACAGTAATATTTTGAAATATTATTACAGCTTAAAATAACTTTTAAAAAGTGTGGTTTATTCCTGTGTTGACAGCTGAATTTTCAGCAGCCATTACTCCAGTCTCCAGTATCACATGATCCTTCAGAAACCAATTTAATATGTTGATTTGGTACTCAAGAAACATTTTTTTGTATTATCAATGCTGAAAACAGTTGTGCTGCTTAATATTTTTGGTATAAACCATAATACCATGATGATTTTCTTCAGAAAGCTCAAAAGAACTCCATTTATTTGAATAGAGTTTTAATGTAGATGCTTTTACTGTCATTTTTTATCAATTGAATGCATTCTTGCTAAATAAAAGTATTAATTTCTTTTTTTTTTTAATCTTACTGACCCCCAAATTATGAACCGTTTGAAACTTCACATCCGGAGTGCGCTTTAAAATGCTCCCTACGAAGGCAGCTGACTAGATTTTGAAAAAGCTTCTGCCTATGTTTGTCTTTTCTTTATTCTCTCCTCCTTCGTTTCACAGTCTCTCTGGCTTCAGAAGGTCACAGAAGGCCACTACTTTTCAGACGGTTGTGGAATAGTTCTGAGGTGGTTTGGGTTTGTTATGGGCTCTGTGTGGCATGACCTTGGCTCTCTGCTGTTCTTTCGGGGCCATCATCACAGCAGGCCCAGCTCGCCAGCAACATCACATGATCTTCTAAAGTGGGCTGCCTCTCGCCACATCAAGGGCACACCCCAAAAAAACTGCTCACCGATACTGTCAACCCTCATGTGCATCGCCTGCATTTTTTTTAATATAATTGATATTTTACCCAGGATGACTCTATAGCCTTGTTCAGACTGTCAGGCCAAATCCAATTTTTGTGCAAATCCGATTGAAATCGGATCATATTTAGATAGTCTGAATGGCAACAAACTACATGAATCTGTGTG